TATATGCACATATCTTCAGTATTGCGCGTGCCATCTCAGCTGTGTCATGTCCAATTGTAAGTAGGTGTCACTGCGCTGGCGGCTATGGGTACGAGTTGATTGGGTTAGGGTTGATTGGGCCGGTCTGTATGATATATAGAGAAGTCTGGACGTAGCGTAGAAGAGTTGCCGTTTGAATATATTCATTTCGATCTAATTCGTTCTGGCTGCCAATATCGGGAGGAATACTAGGTGCCAAGCCGGGCACCAAGAATGGATATGAATAATAAGCTACAAAGTCGTATATCCTATTTGATCCCATGTTACACAGGGTACGGAATGTCTAAGTAATATGTGGGGAACATGGTCGGAATTTGAGCGGAAGGCAGTTAATACCACGACATCCTCTAAACCTGCGGAATGTGGTGGGAACAAGCTGGGAATGTGGCGGTAATGTGCTCATCCTCTCCGTGTTCCCCAACCTCCGTAATCTGGCGCTTCACGCGGTGCAAGAGAATATTTGCTGCCAGTCGTCAACGCGTCCCTGTGACCGGACCTGCCAAGTGACTGTGACGAGCCGCCGTCATCGGCTCTGTCCGGACGTTCTCGCGAGTCTCTCCTCATCGACATCTACTCTGCCTTTCATCTCAGTTGCGTACTGCCCCACTCGCAGCAAATGGACCCGGACGCGTTCTATCACGGACCCACGACATGCAAAAGATATACCTTCCGCATACACAAAACAGGCCATGTCATCTTACCCCACTCGAGAAAATGCATGCTGCCTCCCTGCTCGGATCTACTCCAGGTGCATCTCGATTCCCTTCTGCGCTGTACTCCCCTCCCGACGCTCCGTGCCATAGGTGAACGTATTCGAACTTGGTCGCATGCATCTGCAACTTGTCTAGACGTTCGCCTTCCCTTCGTCGATCCTTCACACTACATCCCGCGCTTCGCCGCCCTTTTAGAGTTCGGCGACGAGGCCTACCAGGTCGCCATGGACGCCATCAGACTTCCCAACACCTTGATCTTGAATGGATGACGACAGGTGTACCCAGCCGGGATATGCGGCACATGCTTCCTGCTTGCCGCGCTCACGAACAACTTCCGGCGGGGCGTCACAAAGATGGTCCGAGTCGTGCACGAAAGAGAAGGAGGGGGAGGAGAAAGAGCGCGTGATTGCTGAGAACGGGAGCGTGGACTTGGACCAGGCGAAGGGCAAAAAGACGGATGCGCGGCGAGAGCGACGGGATGGGGGTGGCGGACGCTGATCAATACTCCCAGGTTGACTGCGCGAGCCCTTATACATACCATTCGACCCCGTCCCATCGACCTCTCGACCTCGCCTTGCTCAATCACTGGCTCTTCCCGCTGTTCCTTCCGGACAAAGGAGAGCATTCAATAGGTATGCCGTCTGATCCCGAACGCACCCCTGTCCCAGCGACCGCAATCGCAGACGCTACCACCCTCTAGCGCGACCGTAACAGCAATATACTCCAGGGCGAGACGCTCCCATTGCGAGTTCGCCAGCCTTCTCGGATTGAAGCGAAGGGACGGTGGATGCAGCCGTAACGTAGGAAGAGAGAGACTTCCTCAACTGAGCCAGTGAGACGCACGCCCCTCGCCTCGGTGCTCGAGTGCGCGGAGAATCGGCGCCACATGCATAGCCCAGGGAACGTCAGGCTCCTTGGGTGGCTCGGCATGGAGAGAATATGATTCTCGGTGTCGTAGCAGCTGTCGATCGCGTACTGATTCATGAGCGTTCTCAGAATTGTCCCGCTCCGTCGTACATGAGGTAGAAGGAGAAGGATGCGCAAAGGAGCGGATAACGGTTATGGTCTGTCACTTACACGCGAGCCGACGAAATACAGATGATGCGAACATGATATTGTGAGGTTCTGACGACCAATCGAAGAGGATCAGCTGTTTAAGGGTCCCGAGCTCGCCGGGGAAGAAGGCACCTCCGATGAGAGGCAGGAACACGGCTTGACGTTGCGGCGGATCCTCTGAGCCGCCACATTACTTTTCAGCCAGTTGTAGCACGATATATACTCAAGCGCATAGCGGCGAGTACCAGGATGGAAATGGTGCAAAGTCATTAGACAGCGATTGGTTCAATGCATCGGAACTACGTGACGTGCGCTCATTTGAGTGCGATGCTGCATGACTACAGTGCGTCAGAAGGGTTGCTTGCATTCCCTTTCTCATTCCAATTTGCGCCACGGCGGATATTCCTTGGAAGATGAGTTCAGGTGGAGCTCTTGCGCCGCCCTTCTACGAGCATCTCTGCGAAGTGGACGGCCACCGGTTGCTATACAACTTTTCCCTACCCACCCGCGCCCCTATACCTCTAAGTGCTCTCTCTCACTTCCGCTTCGGCAATTACAGCAGGTCAGTACATTATAGAAATCTCGAACCCTCAGGACAGCGACCCACTGAGCACGGTAAGCCCTATAGAATGTCATCGACCTCGGACGATAGCGAGTTGCAACACACCGGACCGCCCTCGCAGCCCGCTGCCGGACAGGGTCAAGACCTCCATGGGTCCATAGCACCTGACGATACATCCGCTGCTCAACCGCAAGGGCACATACTGCAGGCAGTACGTACAGTCCAATTGTGATCAGCGGGCACCGCATTGACTAGTTCGCCGCTTTACAGAACGCCCAGAATGGCGGCGGCACGGGTAACTCGTCTTTGCCGTGGAAATTACCTTCTATGATGGTGAGTCAAAGGATTATCGGCTATGTAGGCACGGTCAGGCTTACGTTAACACAGGATCTGAGGAAGGAGTTCAACGAGACCTATACGCAAGCCGACAAACATAGCGCGCTCGAGAAAACGGCCGAGGTCGTCAAACAATACAGCGACGAGATGGTGAAGCGGTGGAAGGAAGAGATCGACACCCTTCTCGTCTACGTACGTTACATATCGCATACGATCTCTCGTGATTCACTACATACTTTTCGGCGCACCAGGCGGGTCTATTCTCGGCCATCCTCACCGCGTTCAATGTCCAATCGTACATCCTCCTCCAACCCAGCTCCCCGGATCCCACTCTTGCCGTATTGCAGCAGATCTCCCTCCAGCTCAACAGCTTCTCCGTCAACCCTCCTGGCGCACTCGTCAACTCTACCCATCCTGTCACCCCCTTTGCCCCCATCCCGACGGCCCCGGTTGAGGCGTGGGCTGTGTGGCTGAACAGCCTGTGGTTCTCCGCGCTCATCTGCAGTCTCGCGTCCGCTTCGATCGGCATCTTGGTGAAGCAATGGCTGCACGAGTACGAGGCCGGGATCTCGGGGACCTCGGTGGAGATCGCGCGGCTGCGGCAATACCGACTCAATCACTTGGAGAAATGGCGCGTTGCGGAGATTATTGCAATTCTTCCGGTCCTGCTCCAGGTCTCCCTCGCACTCTTCCTGGCTGGTATACTCGTCCTTCTCTGGCACCTACACCCCACGGTCGCTTCCGTCGCCAGTACGCTCATCAGCCTGCTGTTGTCGTTTGTGGTGGTCACGACTGTCATGCCCGTGTTCTGGCGGGACTGCTGCTACCTCTCGCCTCCAACGTACGCTATATTCCGTGCTGTGCATCGTATCCATTTCCTCGTCACATCGCTTAGGAAATTGTTCAAGGCACTGTACAATTGTTGCGACGCACTCATTGACCTCGAGTGGCTACCAGTCTTCATTCGTTCGTGGCTCAGAGACCTCAGTCTTTGGGCTGTGCGTCAGGACTGGAATACGGTGACAGTACCTACATGGCGTGGTCGAGAGCGGACGGCCGTCCAATCATCCGCCTCCGAACTCGACGTCG